TTCTAAGCCTCCCAGCAGGGTGGGTGGAAAAGTCTAGAAGACTAGGTCCTCCTCCACTCCTGGGCTCACCACATTCTCAAGCCAGGAAGGTCTTCCTTTTTCCCCTCTCCCGGCGGAAGAGTCTGTTAGCTCCATCCTCCTCTGAGAAAACTCACCTCTCCTGCCCTGACCTACTCCAAGTCTACAGAAAACCCTAAGTTCAAAGCTCCCTTCCCCTATCTCGTGTCCAGACCACCTTCTCAGGGGTCCACACGGTCTTCTTAATCCTTCATCTGTCCAAGTACCACTCAGATCTTTTTAACATTCTGTCGTGTAGCGAGGCGGATTAGAGACGCTGGCTTGGCTGAGTCTACTCCTTGGGGATTTCCATCTAGGGCCCCCCCAACCCCGTCTGCCTCAGTTTCTCCACCTTCATAAGTTACTGAACATGCACTGAGAGGCCAGAGTGTGGCTACTGGCTGGGTTTGTCACTGGGAAAGCTGCAGAGAGGGAGCATGTCCACCAAAGAACTTGGCACCACAGTTCAGCTCCTGACTCTTTCGACCCATTCCCACCCCTAAAAGGTCTTCTCACCAGGCAGCTGTCGAAGACCCGGGACCCTCAAGATCCCTGGGGTGGGGGTGACACTCAGACTCCACCAGCCCAGACTCCACCCATCGCTCACCTCTTGGCCCCAGAGCTGTTGAAAAATGTTCTGAGAGATTCTGGGAGAACTTTCCCTGACTGCTGCCGCTGTCCCCTCTGCCTTTTCCCCTATGCTAAAGCAGGTTCTTCCAAGAACATAATTCACCTCCAGGCTCCTGGCATTATTATAATATTTGACCTGTTTTTGTTTTTGTTTTAAACCAAATGTGGTCCCATCTTAAGAATACAAACAGATGCACCACCAATTTTCCTCCCCTTGGACAGCAAGCCCTGCCCACAATGGGGGTGGGGTGAGCAGGAGGGTTGTTAACTCACTTCCAAGAGACCTGGATTAATTTCTACCAACCCCTCCCCCCGGATCCCCCCAGGGAAAGGCCTGCCCTGGAAGGGAGACCACCCGGTTCAAGCCTGGCCATCCAATCTGCCCATCTGTCTGTCTGTCTGTCTGTGGGATCAACAGCCTCCAGCCAGCTCAGCTCCTCGCCAGCCCCAGCCCCAGCCCCAGCCAGCTGTAATTCCTGCCTGTTACAAGTGTTAACACCTGGCCTGGGGCCTTCCTCCCCCGCAGTCTCCAGGTGCCTCCTTGGGCCCAGCCCACTGACCCCCACGGGGTTTGACTGAACATGTTCACAAGCCTCTGAAAGGCGGGTGGAGGTGGGAGCGGGTGGGGGAAGCAGCATGACATCTGACAGATAGGGAAACTGAGGCAGGGCTTGGGGTAGCTGCCGGAGTGGGGGAATGGGTCTCAGGATGGTGGAAAGAGAACTCAGGTGTCTTATTTCCCAGCTCACTGCCCTTGACTTCTGCAGAACACCTTCACCCAAGCTGCAGGGCAGGACAGGCTGGTGAAGCTGGAGCATGAGAGGAAACAGCGCCGCAGGCGGGTGGGTCACTCAGAGGCAGGGTGGGCTCCCGACCCCCAGCGGAGGCCCCTTCCATCAGGGCCTCTGTCTCAGGAATGTAGCAGGCCCTAGGATGGGCCCTAATAAGGGAGTTCATTTTTCCCCCAAGAAGGAGAAGAAAGACAAGTTCCTCCAGCAGGCACTAACTGGGACTGACAAGAAGAATTACAGAAATCAGTGCTGCTGTCACCGCTTCCTGTCCCCGCTCTACCCCTACCTGGCTGGGAAGGCCTGGAGCACATCTCTTCCTTCCACAAGCCTCTGTCTGACACCCTGATGGCTCTACTTTCTGGTATGCCTTCTCTTGGGGCTGGGGCACGAGCAGCACAGGCCCCTGGGGGTTCGAGGGGCCTTTCTCGAGGGGTAGCAGGGACAGACATCCCAGCTAAACCGTTTCTCCTGTAAACCCCTCCTGGGGAATGTGTGAGCTGGGTGGGCTTAAGAGGGCAGCCTATGCTGGGCTCAGACGCTGAAAGATCTGGAATCTGATGGACTGCCCTGGAGGCAGAGCGGGAACAGGAATCTGAAGCCTGTCCACTCTGCCGTCCCTGTCCCAGGCCCGGTCCCAGCTCTAAGAAGGTGACTTCTCCTCCATGCCAGTTCCAAGCCCAAAGACAAATGGCCAAAGAGGGGAGGGCTGTGACGACCATCCTCAGACAGGATAAGCTCATGCCAAGAAGGGCTCTGTACCCTGCGTAGACACTGCCCAGTCCAGGACCCTTGGTCAGCGGGGCCCCTTGCAGCTTCTTGGTTAGACCTTTGTCTCCTGCTGGACTGCCCCTCCAGGACTACAGCTGCCCACCAAGCACCCAAGCTCAGGATGTCACTCACACCCGAAAGTCGTGGGTCTGCAAACATATCCACAAGGCCAGGGCCCTGCCATCCACGGGGACTTGAGGACGGGGTCCCAGGCAGACCCGGACACAGCCTCCTACTCCTCCTTCCAAACACAATCAGGTCATGGCCATGAGCACTGATATCCATGCACAAAGACAGCTGTGGGGCTTTCCCCTGACACTGTCGTGAAGGCATGCGCGCACATGCACGTACACACGCGTTTGCGCGCACACACACACAACACTCACATGCCCAGTCATGAACACAGTCATGCCTAGTGTCACAAGCAGACACAGGGGCTGACCTTTACGTGGGCATAGACACTTCTAGGCTTCCTCTGTCTCTCTCTCTCTCTCACACACACACACATACATGCTAGAATCAGCCACTTGCTGACACTTGTGTATAGAGGTGCAACACACCCGTTCATGGCCACAGATCCCCCATCTCACGTGAGTTCACATCCATGGTGGCCCAGATGTGGGCATGGACTCCTCCACACACAGAGACACACTCATATTTGGTTGACACCTCTTATGATCATAGCCCTAGAATACACACACACACACACACACACACACACACACACACACCTCTCCTCTGCTCAGACAAAGCAGTATCCTGGCCTCCCCCGAACCACCCCCCAACACCAGCCCCCAAACACGCCATGAGTCCAGCATTACATTAGGGAAGATGTCCTGGCTTTCCAGGTTTTTCCAACATCTTGCTATCTAGGTGTTCCCCAACACACGACTGCACACCAGACTGCCCCCTCCCCACAGCCCTTCCCCACAGGCACTGCCCCAGGAAGTGCCCTCCTCCAGTAAATAGGGTAAGGGAACCAGCCTCTTCCTCACCCCTACTCCTGCCTTACCCCTGCAGCCCGTGGGGCTCCCAGCCTTCTCTCCATACCCTCCCCCCACCAGTCCCCATGAAGGCAAAGAACAGCATGGCCTTGGCCCTGGGATGCAAAGAGGGTCAGAAAGGCCTGGAAAGGCGGGATGGGTTTAGGCAGCACTCTTCCCCCAACAGGCAGAGCCCCCCGACCTGGAATCCCTGGCTGCCCCCGCCACCCCTCGGACTTCTTTATGTACAGGAGGCCCCAGGCCAGCCCAAAGCCGCGGGAAGGAAGGGCTGGACAGAAGAAAGACTTTCCCTTGGGTGTGTGTACTGGGAGCAACTCTCAGAACCTTCTACACACAGACCCTTGGCCATGCCCGGCTCCTGCCCCCATCCTGGGCCCCCCACCCCAGCAACTGGAGGCAGACTCAGGGTGTGGCCCCGGAATCATGCTGGCTCTGCTCCCCCTAGCTGGGCTGGAGAGAGGGTGGCAGGTCAGAGAGAGGGGGGTGCGCAGGGGGGCACCGCACCCTGGTGGCCTTCTCCTCTGACTTTAACCTCAGGGGCCACAGGCCCTCTTCTTACTCACTGGATCCCAAATTCTTCTTCTTCACCTCCCACCCTCCCACCACCCCCCACCCCCGGGGCCGAGGCTCTCCGTCCAGGAGGGTAAGATTCTTTAATTAAAGTTTTCCGGAATGCAGGGGGCTGGAGACTGAGGACAGGCGGGGTATAATTTAGAGAACTGGTTTCAGTGTCTCTTTCCCCTCTGGCCTCTGGGACCTGCTGGGGGGCGGTGGGGCTGCTTGGAAAACAAGGGGACTCCCTGGAACTGGGGCTCCCAAAGGGCTGTTTATTCCTTGGTCAGTCTCCCCCTCCATAGACGCGCCCCCCCAAAACACCGCGCCTGATTTCCCAGCCTTATTTACTAAAAATGTCTTTTGTATCTGCATTTCTCGGGGATAGAATTCTCCTTTCCCTCTCTCCCTTTCTCCTCGGTCCTCGGTTTTCCAAAAGGAACGAATTTGACATGGAGAATTGGGTTTTTGGTCAAAGAACAAACCCACCCCCTCCCAGACAACTACATTTTCAAAGAGCCCCCTCCCCTTTTGCCAGGATGGACAAACAAGAAATGAATAAAATCCGAATTCAATGGCATCTCGGATCAGCAAATACCATATTCACTTCTGAGGCTCAAGATTAATCTGGAGCAGAGTGGGGAGAATCTGATGAAATCCACCCCCCCGGCCTGCTCCCCTGCCCCAGGGTTCCCTGAAGCCATCGGGGTCTGAAATATGAAGGCAAAAGGGGGTTATTGTGGGGGAAATCTCTTGATGGAGGCGCCGGCAGAGATGGGGGTGGCAATGAAGGAACAGGATGATTTTGCCCATGAAGACCCCAAAATGGAGAAGAGGAGTGGCTGGGCCCCAGGGACAACGCTGGATTTCCAGAAACCCAACTGCAAGCAAATGGAGGGTCTTCGGGGCCCCCAGATGAGGACGGGTGAAGGGTGAGGATTTAGGAATCAGAGACCATCGGAGCCGGGAAAAGTCCTCCAGCCTCTGCAGCGAGTAGCAGGGAAAATGGTGATTATCAGAAAAGCCAGGAGTTGGATTCTGAAGGCGACACCAGCAGAAAATCTAGGAGGGGTGGGCGAGTGGGGGGCTGGAGGGAGGCAAGGAGAAAGGAGCCGCAGCCCACCCCGGCCGGCGCCCCCCACCTCCCCGGGACTCCGCGGAGAAATCGGGCCGCGGGCAGACAAGAGGCGAGTCTTACCACCAAATTGGGTAGCCGGCGAGGACCCTGGTGCCACAGAGCAGGAGGCCGAGGAGCAGCCCGAGCAGGTGGGGCTCCATTAGAAGCGGCGCCGAGGAGGAAGTTTGCCCGCGACCATGAAGAGGGGGAGCGACGCCCCCAATAGTTGGAACAAAGTCCACTTGAGATTGGAAATGACTTTCGGGCTTGTCAGAAGCGCACCTCCACCCGCAGCCGCCCCCCTCCCGAGCCCAGCGCGGAGCAGCCGGGTTTGAGGATGTCAGCGAGCAGCCAATCAGCGCCCGCGGCCTAAGGTAAGAGATGAGTCTGTAGTTCAGCCTGTCAATCACGCGCCCCTCCCGCCCGGCCCACGAGTCGGGCTCAGGGAAGGGCATCGCCCAGCAAACTTGGGCAAAGCCGCGCCCCGGACACAGTGGGAACTTGGGGTTGGGGAGGGCGGCACTTTGGACCCTCTGCTGGCCCGGGACCGCCGCGGCGCCCCACCCCCCGCCGCCCCCCGCCAGCCAGGTTGAAGAAGCTGGGGCTTTGACGGGGGCGTTCACGTGGTGCCGTGTTGGCGTGGGCATTGATGGGTGGCTCCTTTTCTCTCGGGGGACCGTGACCCCTTTGGACTTGGGCGCGTGAGAAATCGAGAGTAGAAAGCACACGGATGTTTCCAGAAGCCTCGCTCGGGCAAGACAGGATCCGAGGGTCTCGGAGAGGGTTGGGAAATACAACCCCTCCCAGCCTGCAGCCTTCGGGGCCGGCGAGCCTGCCGGCCACTCGACCCCGGCCGCGGGAGGTCGCTTCCCGGGTGTCCGAGAGGCGCGCGGAAGGGTCCGCGGAGGCTCGAAGGTCTGGCTGCGGGCGGCGCCGGGGGACGGAGCTGAGTGTCATTTGAGTCTTTTGTCAGGGATCAGATCGGTATCGGGACCTCCTGCTGCCTTTGCATTTCCTGCAACTGACACCAGCGGCCAGTTGCATTTCCTGCTCGCGGAGCCAGGTCACTTTCTCCTCCTCGAGGGGTTCAGGGCCGGCCTCCAGCTCGGGTCAGAAGCAGCGCCCGCAGTCCCATTTGGATCTCAGGGATGAACCGTTTGGGGCCAGTGAAAGACAGTAGTAGCCCCAGCAGGGAGCAGCTGGGGTCCTCCGAAGACATTTATGCCTGCCCAGGGAACCCTCCCCCCAAGTCTCTGCCTGAGCTTCCACCTGGGGTTCGATGATAACGGGTCCTTTGCCTGTGTGGAAGTCAAATGTATCCAACACCCCCAGCCCCCACCACAGGAAAAAAGTCCCATAACAGGCGCCTGGGGTCTTTCTGTCCTCTCCCTCTCCAGCGTCCAAGAATTAGGTCTCAGTCCTGAGTGGTGCTGAGAGGGAGGCCACTCTTGGGGGACTTGCCCCCTGTCACCTGGGCGACCTGCTTTCCAAGCCCCTCTCTAGGGCCACCCACAACCCCAGAGGCAGTCGGGACCCTGGAGCAGCCCTGGGCCTGGGGTGAAGAAAGCAAGGCCAGTGATGGGGGACAAGGGCCACTGCTCAGAGGACAGGGGCAGAAGGGGCAGCAAAGGAACTGCCCCCAAGACCCTCGGAGGCCTGGAGTGGTGGGCCATCTCTCCACCAGGTGGGGGGCACCGTCCAAGGAAGTCCAGGCCAGAGGCCAGACGTTCCTGGCCTTTGATCTGCGCCACCCGTGCCCACAGCTCGAACCTGCTGCCCCTGCCCATCCTGAGAGCCCTCTCCCCACATGGCGGCTGCGGGCGCGGGGAGCTCGGGGAACTGGCCCCGGGGCACCAAGGGTCGGGAGCGCCGCCTGGGCTTGTCACGGCTCCTGCTGCGTTCCTAGCCTGGTGCTCGGCTGGAGGGGTTGGGTGGGGTGGGGTGGGGGGAGAGATGAAAGAGAGGAGGGAAGGGGGGAACAGGGAGAAACAGAGTGAAGAAAGGAGAAAGAAAGAGAAACTGAGAGACAGCGATAGGGAGAGAAGAGGGCCGGAGATTAGCAGGGGGAGCTGGAGGAGAGAGAAGGGGAAGGGGGAAGGAGGGGGGCTGAGAGGGGCAGGGTGACCAAGACGGAGAAAAAGCCTCAACCTGCCCCAGAACAGCTACTGGGACGGAGGCTGGAGAGATGGGGATCCTTTAGAGATGCCCCCGTGATGGGCTAATTCTGGGGTACCTTGTTTCTGATTGACCTGGAAAGAGGGTCATGGTGGGTTTGCCATAATCACTGCCTGGAGCCCTGGGTCCCAGTTCTAGGAGTAGAGAGCCCTCCATACACCCCACATGGCCTGCTAGGTCCTACCCCCTTTCTGTCCTGCCCAGCAGGGACTCCCCTGGTTTTCTGATCAGAGGAGCCTGCGGGATTTCACCTTCTGCCTGGCAGTTTCGGAGGCTCCGGAGCCCATACCTGTCATTCCGAGACCTGAGAAGGGCTCCCTTCCCTCGCCACCAAGAGACCATTGTGGATTCAGCATGGCCAGGAGGCAGGAGCTGGGCTAGATGGCCTCTTGGGGTCATTTCTGGGTCCTCAGGGACCATAAGTACCATGCCTGGGCGGCAAAAGATCTGGGAGTGCTGTGGGTGGGCTGAGGGTTGGCGGAGACATGCCCAACCAGGACCCCTGGGCAGCCTAGGCAAGACTGGTCATTCTCTGAAGGGCCACTCGTATCCAATGCCTCCTCCAGGCAGCCTGGGAGCACCCCGAGACTCAGGTCAGGAGCTTGAAGCAGGGAAGGGAAGAGAAGCAGGGGAAACAAGTGGGTGGGAGGAGAGAATCATGAACTTTTGCTGAAGGCACAGCCTGGGGAAGTTGGGGGGGTGGGAGGGAGGCCCAGCAGGGAGGTGTGAGAACCCACTCGTGGCCTGCTCGGGGGACCCGGAGAATGGAAGCTGGCGTGGGGATTTCCCCCCACTTGAAAGCTCCCCAGAGGAGGGGATTCCTGAGCCCTTGCCCCTCCCCTGCCAGGTGTCCTTCCTTCAACACAGGCTTAATTTCCTTCCTCCCACCGGCCCAGTGCTGCCAGTAGAACACAGAAATGGTCCCTACCCGGGAGGGGGAGGCCGCCCCCGCGCCACGTGTCGCCAGCGGAAACACTCTCTCTTATTAGGCGCCCCGAACCTCAGGGTGGATTGCAGTCGATGGGGAAAAGGGTTAAATTCGCTCCGAGACCAGCCCGGGTGGCTGAGGTGGCGCCCCCCAGCCCTCCGCCTTAAATGGGAGGGTGGCCTCTAGAAAGAGGGCCAAGAAGGCGGGAGGGTCCGGGGAGGAGGGTGCCCGGGGAGTTGAGGACTGGCACGTGGGCTGCCCTCGGTGTCGTGTGTGTGAATATCAGGGAGCTCGGCGCTGCCGGGTGACTGCCCGGCCTCACCCCACCCCCGCCTCTCTCGTGGCCCCGAGGTTGCTTTTGATGTGCGCCCCCCGCCCAACAGGCCGTCGGCAGCTCTGTATTCAGCGCCGCTGGCCGGGTCCCCTGCGGAGCGCCGCCGAGACAAAGACGACGGCAGCCAGACCCCCGCCCGCCCGCAGGGGGCTACCCGTCTGTCGCCGGGAGGGAGGAGGAAATCTCCGATGGAGCGCAGTGCTATTCATTTTTGCTTGGAACGTGCCCGAAAGCTTGCTCGGGGGCCTAGGAACCTGGAGCCCAGACCGGCCCGGGGAGGGTGAAGAGAGAGGGGAATGCTGCAGGTGCCCCGGCCCAGGGGGCCTAAGAGAACGGGGGTGGGGGGTGGGGGCGGGGAGCGGCACAAGGGGGCGCGTGGAGGCTCCACGGTCTCTCACGGGAGAGAGGGGCTTTTAACTTTCTCCTGAGAGCTATAGGAGCCTCAGAACGGTTTGAGCGAGCTCCTTGGAAGCCACCAGAAGGCTGGACAACCAGAGAGGACAGCCCAGAAGCACACAGGCCGTAGCGGTGGGCACAGGTATTCACCGAACAAGATTTCTTTAAACTGTAGAGGTGGCGTCCTGGAAACGCCAGAAGCCTGCACCGGGTAAGCACCCTAGGTGAGCCACGAATGTCCACGGAACCACAAAAAGGCGCATGGAGCCTGCCAGTCCCTCCGTCGTCCGTTCCTGGCGCGCCCCCTGGCGGCGGTGCTGATAATGAGGCAGGAAGTCGGCGGGAGAGGAAGGGCCCCGCCACACCGACCCGCCCCGCACTCGCTCCCGGCCGGGCCCGGGAGCCCGAGACTTTGTTGGTGAGCAGCCCGGATTTTTGGGGATCCAGGTTAAGTAGGCGTCCTCGTGAGCGAATGCCCTTAATCTACTTCCCAATCCCGGAGCTTAGCTGAGGATAAGGTGTGCGTGGCTTCGGGCTCCCTCTGCTCCCCACCCAGGTGGCTCCCTGGGGAGGGCGGGCGGGCCCCAGATGCAGGACGCGGGCGGGCCGAGGTGATGCGAGGTCTTCTCGGCACCGCCTGGCCGGAACCCTGCGGCTGCCTCAGCTTTGTGTCGAGATACGCGAGGCTGTGAACAGGCAGGCAGAGTGATGTCACCGAGTCCTTCCCAGACTGGCCCACCCGCACCGGGAGATCACAGGTGCCACCTGTGGGAACGTGAGGGCTTTTTCCTGTCGCAGTAATTCCTCTGGTGCTGGTCCTCTCCGGTTCCCCAAGGGCATCTCAGAAAGCAAGCGATTTGGGGCCAGAGTCCTTCGAAAGGGGAGGGGAGGGAGCAACAGAAAGCATGAAGGGCACCCCTGGCCAGCTGCCGGTCATCCCTGAGCCTCCCCTCTGCTGCGGGAGGGGGAGATAACGCTTTATATCTCATAGGGAGTTGTCAGCGTTAAATGAGAACGGTGCTGACAGAATGCCAGACCGCGGTCAGGAATAATAAATATTGGGTTTCTTTCTTCTCCTCTTAGGGGCTGAGGAACGAGCTGCTCTCTTGGGTCTCTCCTTCTGCCCCGGTCAGCCTCAGCGAAGCAGATGCCCCTCTGGGAGCCCAAGAGCTTCCACCAGAAGGGTTTCCCCGGGAAAATCTTGTCTGATGTTCCAACTTCAACCTACCTCAAAATCTCCTTTCCAGAAAGATCCCCCTTACCACTAGGCACTCCCCGACCCTGTCCCTCTTGGCCTCCTATTCCACTTTCTTTTTCTGCTGAGCCCTTAACACTGACCTTATGTTACATACGTTATGTGTCAGACACGTCTGTTCTGTTGCTCACTTAGTGTGTATCTCTTACTCTAAAATCAAAACCCAATGGGACTACTCGAAGCCTGACACCCAGAGCAGGGGCTGGCATGTCAGAGTCCCCATATGAACGTTGTTG